GCCTGTCCAAGGGTTGGGGGTAGGAGGAGGGAGACCATCAGGAAGAATAGCTAATGGATGCTGGGCTTAATACCTAGGTGATGGGATAATCTGTGCAGCAAACTGCCATGGCACACAGTTTACCTATGTTAACAAACCTGCACATCCTGCGTGCGCGCCCTGAATAAAAGAAAAAAGGTTGCAGAAAAATGATCACCTCAATGAATTCCTTTCTTCACTTCTCATATTGCCCCTCACTTTCCCTAATTTCCCTCATTTTTTCATTTACAATATTTATTTTCTAAGGAATCTACCTTGATGACCACTTAGAAGTATTCTAAAGTGAGCTTGTCTTCTCAGTATTCATCATTGTGGCTTTCATATTATCCTTTCACTTCTCCTTAATACTTTTACATAATAGTTGTCTAATAAGTTTTTTTTTTTTTTTTTTTTTTTTTTTTGAGACGGAGTTTCGCTCTTGTTACCCAGGCTGGAGTGCAATGGCGCGATCTCGGCTCACCGCAACCTCCGCCTCCTCGGTTCAGGCAATTCTCCTGCCTCAGCCTCCTGAGTAGCTGGGATTACAGGCACACACCACCATGCCCAGCTAATTTTTTGTATTTTTAGTAGAGACGGGGTTTCACCATGTTGACCAGGATGGTCTCGATCTCTCGACCTCGTGATCCACCCGCCTCGGCCTCCCAAAGTGCTGGGATTACAGGCTTGAGCCACCGTGCCCGGCCCTGTCTAATAAGTTTTAATGGAAACAAATTTATTGCAAACAAAAAATAGCTCTTTATGATAAAATCTGTATAGAAATGCATGGAGAAAAAAACAAAAAAAAATCATTCAACTGCTTTTTAACATGACAAAAAGTGGGTTAAGAGGGTCTCAAAAATCTTTAAATTTTAAAATACTGATTTATTGGTAACCAGGGTTTTCTTGGATCTGCTTCTTTAAAAAAAAAAAAAATGGCGAACTTTGGATGAGCTTTTTTTTCTTTTCGTTTCTTTTTTGGGACGGAGTCTCCCTCTGTCGCCCAGGCTGGAGTGCAACGGTGCAATCTCAGCTCACTGCAACCTCCGCCTCTTGGGTTCAAGCGATTCTCCTGCTTTAACCTCCCGAGTCCCGAGTAACTAGGATTTCAGGTGCCTACCACCACGCCCAGCTAATTTTCGTATTTTTAATAGAGATGGGGTTTCACCATGTTGGTAAAGCTGGTCTCAAACTCTTGACCTCAGGTGATACACCTGCCTCAGCCTTCCAAAGTGCTGATCTTAAAGATGTGAGTCACTGTGCCCGGCTTACAAATGGTGAATTTTATAGTACATAAATTCAATGTCAATAAAGCTTTAAAAACAAAAAGAGTATGCTCATACTTGACTATGAATCCCAGCTCTGCTACTTACTAGCTGTAGAATCTTAGGCATGTTATTCAATCTTTCTAGGACTGTTTTCTCACCTGAAAAGTGGGAATTACACTATCTACCTTATTGGATTGTGTGAAAATTAAAGTTAAAACTTGATTGGCTGCTGCCAATAATTGTTACCTATATTATTTTTATTAATAAACATTTTATTTTTGTGACGTTTCTACTTCCAATAAATGTTTCTGACGATGAAACATATTGTTATTCTATTGACAATGGATTTTATTTATTTTTATTTTTGAGACAGGGTCTCCTCTGTTGCCCAGGCTTGTAGCTCAATCACGGCTCACTGCAGCCTCAACCTCCTAGGCTCAAGTGGTCCTTCCACCTCAGTCTCCCTAGTAGCTGTGATTACAGGCATAAGCCACTGCACCAGGCTAATTTCGTATTTTCTGTAGAGATGGCATCTCTCTATGTTGCCCAGGTTTGTCTGGAACTCCTGGGCTCAAGCGATCCTCCAGCTTTGGCCTCCCAAATTGCTGGGATTACAGGCATGAGCCACTGCGCCTGGCCTGGATTTTTTTTTTTTTTTTTTTTTTTTGACATGGAGTCTTGCTCTGTTGCCAGGCTCGAGTTCAGTGGCACAATCTCCTGTCATTGCAACCTTGACCTCCCAGGTTCAAGTGATTCTCGTATCAGAGACCCCCGAGTAGCTTGGATTACAGGCAGGTGCCACCATACGCAGCTAATTTTTGTATTTTTAGTAAAGACAGGGTTTCACCATGTTGACCAGGATGGTCTTGATCTCCTGACCTCATGATCTGCCTGCCTTGCACTCCCAAAGTACTGGGATTACAGGCGTGAGCCATCGTGCCCAGCCTTGATTTTTTTATTTAGATAAAATTCACATGTCCTAAGATTCACCCTATTATACTGTACAATTCACTGGTTTCTGGCGTATTCACAAAGATATGCAATCATCACGACTAAATAATTCCCCAGCATTTTAGTCACGTCAGTGGGTTTTCTTAATTGGCTGGTATAAATATTTAGAATATAAGATTAGGGCTGAGTGCAGTGGCTCAGGCCTGTAATCTCAGCACTTTGGGAGGCTGAGGCAGGTGCATTACTTGAGGTCAGGAGTTTGAGATCAGCCTGACCAACAAGGTGAAACCTTGTCTCGCCTAACAACACAAAAAAAAATTATCTGGGCGTGGTGGTGCACACCTGTAATCCCAGCTACTTGGGAGGCTGAGGCATGAGAATTGCTTGAACCCAGGAGGCAGAGGTTGCAGTGAGTCGAGATTGTGCCACTGCACTCCATCCTGGGCGACAGAACCCAGACTCCATCTCAAAAAAAAAAAAAAAAAAAAGAATGTAAGATTAAAGGGAATACCTCCAGTTCTGACCATCACTTAACTAATGCATGCATTTATTGAAGCATAACTTCCTATTTTAGACAAATTGTTGTACCTATAATTTCCATGATACAAAACATGTATTCATTTAAATTTTATTAAGTATTCAATGAATACAGAAATAACCTAAATTCTACTTTTTTTTTTTTTTTTTTTTTTTTTTTGAGATGGAGTCTGTCTCCATTGCCCAGGCTGGAGTGCAATGTCACAATCTCAGCTCACTGCAACCTCGACCTCTCAGGTTCAAGTGATTCTCCTGCATCAGCCTCTGGAGAGGCTGGGATTACAAGCATGTGCCACCATGCCCAGGTAATGTTTGCATTTTTTAGTAGAGATGAGGTTTCGCCATGTTGTCCAGGCTGTTCTCGAACTCCTAACCTAAAATGATCAGCCCGCCTCGGTCTCCCAAGGTGCTGGGATTACAGGTATGAGCCACCGTACTCAGCCCAGAAAACCTAAATTCTTATTTATTCACCTCTCCTTACATTTGTTTTCTGCTTTGAAATAGCTGTTTATAAAAAACAAATAACCCTATTAAAAAGTGGCCAAAGGACATGAACAGCTACTTCTCAAAGGAAGACATACATGCAGCCAACAAGCATGGAAAAAAGCTCAATGCCACTGATCATTCGAGAAATGCAAATCAAAACCACAATGAGATACCATTTCACACCAGCCAAAATGACGATTATTAAAAAATCAAAAAACAACAGAAGCTGGTGAGGTTGTGGAGAAAAAGCAACGCTCTTATACTGTTCCCGGGGGATGTAAATTAGTTCAACCATTGTGGAACACAGTGTGACAATTCCTCAAAGTCCTAGAGGCAGAAATACCATTTGACCAAGCAATCTCATTTCTGGGTATGTACTCCTCAACATATAAATCATTCTATTATAAAGATACATGCACGCATATGTTCACTGCAGCAGGATTCACAATAGCAAGGACATGGAATCAACCCAAATGCCCATCAATCATAGACTGGATAAAGAAAATATTGTGCATATGCACTGTGGAATACCATGCAGTCATAAAAAGGAACAAGATGATACCCCTGCAGGGACATGGATGGAGCTGAAAGCCATTAATCTCAGTAAACTAACGCAGGAACAGAAAACCAAATACCGCATATTCTCACTTATAAGTGGGAGCTGAATGGTGAGAACACATGGACACATGTAGGGCAACAACACACACTGGGGCCTGTCCAAGGGTTGGGGGTAGGAGGAGGGAGACCATCAGGAAGAATAGCTAATGGATGCTGGGCTTAATACCTAGGTGATGGGATGATCTGTGCAGCAAACCACCATGGCACAGTTTACCTATGTTAACAAACCTGCACATCCTGCGTGCGCGCCCTGAACTTAAAAGTCAGAAAAAAAGAGGTAGCAAAGAAGTTATCTCCTTAATTAATTCCTTTCTTCACTTCTGATATTGTCCCTCACTTTCCCTAATTTTCCTCATTTTTTTTCATTTATAATATTTATTTCCTAATCTACCTTGATGACCACTTAGAAGTATTCTAAAGTGAGCTTGGCTTCTCAGTATTCGTCATTGTGGCTTTCATATTATCTTTTCACTTCTTACTATACTTTTGCATAATAGTTGTCTAATACGTTTTAATGATAAATTTATTGCAAACAAAAAAGGAAATAGCTCTTAATGATTAAAATTTGTATAGAAATGAAGAAAAACAAAAATCACTGCTTTTTAACACGACGAAAAGTGGGTTAAGAATGTCTCAAAAATCTTTAAATGTTAAAATACCGATTTATCGGTAATCGAGGTTTTCTTGAATCTGCTTCTTTAAGAAAAAAAAAACACAGCGAACTTCGGGCACTGTGACGACACCTAGCTAAATTCACGCGAAACGTAGTCAAACGTCACCAAGGCCCACCTCCCCGGCCCTAGAAACCGCTCTCTGGGAACAAGCTGGGAACTTTGATTTTGTTAGCCTTGCCCCTCTGAGCCCTTCACCAAACTCCCGCGCGGGGGCGCCCGCCCCGCCACCCGCCGGGGCTCAGCACGTGGTCTTCTTCCAGCCAAGAGCCCCGTCATTGGTGGGCGCCGACCCCCAAGCTGATCTCGCCTAATTAAATTACAGATATCTGTATTCAAAAAAAAGGTGGGGAGGCGGGGAGGACACTCCCTCTTTTCTGTTCACACACCACAGCCGATTCCCAGGTTTCGGGGAAACGCCACAGGAAGCGGAAATGGTCTCTCCCTGGCCGGCGCGCGCGCCGGGTTGCATCACCCGCCTAGCACTGGGGAGGGGTGGGGTATGATGGCTGCCCTCAGTATTGCCTGCACAAATATCTACCAGCGCTGCAACTAATAGCTCCCGCAACTTTGCACCATGTTTTCCAGTAAGCCTACCGACAGGCACTGTGCAGATTCAAGCAGAGAGACGTCCAAGCAGTGAGGCCGCTGTTGCACTGGCCACCCTAAGCCCCTAGTCGGCCTTTCCGCCCCGGCTTCCTAGGACCCCTAGTGCCCTGCACTAGGACCCCTGCAGCCGATCAGGCGGCAGCCTGGGCGATTTTTTTCCTCTTTTGGCAAGATGGCGGGAGGAGAAGCCGGAGTGACTTTGGGGCAGCCGCATCTTTCGCGCCAGGATCTCACCACCTTGGTGAGGTTTCGCTTGGGGAGGATGCAGAGTGAACTCGGGAGTGGAGTTGACCGATCCTCCCGGGTGGCATTGGAATTAGTGTCCGGTTGTCGGGAGCATGGGTCTGGAGAAGACCTGGAGCCGGGCGCCCTAAGCCATGCTTGCGCTGCCTGTACCCAGGGCGGTCCACGATCAGGGTGCAGGGATGTACGGTCTTGGGACTCCGAACTTCTGGAGGATTCGGCTGGAAAGTCTTGATGTTGATTGTCATGCTGTCAGCTTCTGAACGTCTGGGAAAGAGAGGGTGTCTTGTCTGCATTACTTTTAGTGCTGATGTTCCCAAGATTGGGAAGCCTCTGACTTCTAGATATCCCATAGTTGTATGGACGTGGAGGTGTGGTCTGTTTTGTAATGATGCAGGGCTCTTACGGCTTCTCAGCCATAGGAGTACAAGGTTACTGATCGGTAAAAGGCGCTTTAGAAGTAGAAGAAAACTGCAGATGGTGGTGAGATGTAGATTGCAAATGTAAAGTCAAAGGAAAAGTTCTGATTTGTTTTATGTGCAGTGTTTTAAAATATTTCATTGCAGGATGTTACCAAGTTGACGCCACTTTCACACGAAGTTATCAGCAGACAAGCCACAATTAATATAGGTAAGGGTAACTTAAGAGACCTGACTTGCTTGATCGCCAGCAATGAATTTTGTCCTCACTTTTTGTGTGATTACCTGAATATGAGGATTCAGATATTCAAGAAATAGATATTAAGTTTCTGTGAATAAAGAACCTGCTAGATTTTTTGCAGGGTGGGGGTAAGCCCAAAGAATGCTGCCCATGACTAGCTTACAGACTTGGTAAGAAGAAAAAATGGAGACATGGAAGTTTAACAGCATAAGGCATTATGTAGTTATACGTATCAGAAGTTTAAGGAAGAGGTGAAAATGTGGCTATACTTGCCACACAGGATTATTTAAAGGGCAGAATTTATGAAAGTTTTATTTGATGTACAAGCTGTGATTAAGTCGATTTTTTTTTCTTAATTGACACCTAGAACTTTAGAGGAGACGTTATGTTGACTGAGTGTAAATTTTGGACATTTTGAGTTTGTACAAACAGCACAGTTAAAAAGTAAACTCTACCATGAGGCTTTTAAAAAGTTACACCATTGCAGTTGTTAAACTTGGGTTTCCTTATTTGTTCACAAATCCTTTTTTGTTGTGTCAGGGCCCATCGTACCTGTTTAATCTGGAAATGCTGGAAGATTCCTTAATATACAGAATTCTGGTCTGGTGCAGTGGCTTATACCTGTAATCCCAGCACTTTGGGAGGCCAAGGCAGGTGGATCGCTTGAGCCCAGGAGACCAGCCTGGGCAACATAGCTATCTCTACAAAAAAATGCAAAAAATTAGCCGTGCATGGAGATGCATGACTGTAGGCCCCGAAACTAAGTAGGCTGAGGTGGGAGGATCACTTGAGCCCAGGTGTTTGAGGTTGCAGTGAGCTGTGATCAGGCCACTGCACTCCAGCCTAGGCAGCAGCAGGAGATCCTGTCTGGCCCAGGGTATGTTTTTAAAATAAAGTTGTTAGTTAAATGGAAGGTTCTTTTCAGTCCTATATGAGAACAATGGATATATGGAAGAGGAAAAATTGAAGTCACTGTTGGTTCTATGTTGATATTTGCAGTGAGTTATGGCTTTGGTTTTTTTTTTTCTTTTTGAGATGGAGTCTTGCTCTGTCGCCAGGGTTGAGTGCAGTGTTGTGATCTCTGCTCGCTGTAACCTCTGCCTGCCGGGTTCAAGCAATTCTCCTGCCTCAGCCTCCTGAGTAGCTGGGACTACAGGTGTGCGCCACCATGCTCAGCTAATTTTTGTATTTTTAGTAGAAACGGGGTTTCACCATGTTGGCCAGGATGGTCTCGATCTCTTGACCTCGTGATCTCCCCACCTCAGCCTCCCAAAGTGCTGGGATTACAGGTGTGAGCCACCATGCCTGGCCAGCTGTGGGTTTTCTACTCTTAACACTATTTGAAAAAATATTTGGTGTGTAATTAAATACACAGGAATTAATTTTTTTGTACTTTGTCCGTAGGTACAATTGGTCATGTAGCTCATGGGAAATCCACAGTTGTCAAAGCTATTTCTGGAGTTCACACGGTCAGGTTCAAAAATGAACTAGAAAGAAATATTACAATCAAGCTTGGATACGCTAATGCTAAGGTGAGCTGGGTACTGTGGAACAAGGAAGTATTTAATTGTTGTGCAGATAACAAATCAAAATCTTTTTTATTGAAATTTTAGATTTATAAACTTGATGACCCAAGTTGTCCTCGGCCAGAATGTTATAGATCTTGTGGGAGCAGTACACCTGATGAGTTTCCTACAGACATTCCAGGGACCAAAGGGAACTTCAAATTAGTCAGGTGACTTCTTTTTTGCTAAAAACACTTTACTATGTTTTATTGTCTTCTGTTTTATGCTTTTTGAAATATTAAGGTATTAAACAATAAACTTAATTGCTCAATGGTTTTGTTTTTCCGTTGTTTTACGTTTTTATGGCAAATCTGAAAAGTCAAGCATGTAAATCTAAGTTAAAATACTTACAGGCAGTTTCTCCAAACTAAAAGTATCATGCAAACAAAATGGAGAAACAACTCATTGGATTGAGGGAATTCTTTTTCTAGGCTTCCTGAGTTTCTTTTAAACAGTGCTGTTTTTGTGTATTAAATAGGAGAGGAACAGAGCCATTTCTAGTCACTTCTCTAAAACACTTGAACTTGTTCCCCATCTATTATCTGAATATGGTTGCATACCTGGTTTTTTATCAGAGGATACAGACATCTGTCTAGTAATGTTTCTGGGGACTAGAGATGCCTTACAGGGAATTTTTAGATCAGGAGCAGGGCTGGGATCAGGGAGAGACAAGTGAGGCCTTCACTTCATGCCCAAAATTTAAGTGGGCCTGGGGGCGGCAGGTATGCCAAAAAACTCAGTGATTAGAATAAATTGTTTGTTTGTTTATTTTGAGGTGGAGTCTTGGCTCTGTCACCCAGGCTGGAGTGCAGTGGCACAATCTTAGCTCATCCAACCTCCGCCTCTGGTTCAAGTCATTCTCCTGTTTCAGCTTCTTGAGTAACTGGGATTACAGGCACACACTGCCATGCCCAGCTAATATTTTATATTTTAGTAGAGACAGGCTTTCACTGTGTTGCCCAGGCTGGTCTCGAACTCCTGAGCTCAGGCAATCCACCCGACTCGGCCTCCCAAAGTGTAGGATCACAGGTGTGAGCCACTGCACCCAGCCAGGATAAATATTTTAATACAGTATCTTTTTTGAAATTAATGCAAAAAAATGTGATAAACAGAATATCAAAAATATAAATAAGGGCAGACTCAGTATTAATGAATTTTTTCCCCTCTTGCTTCAGTATCACTTTATGGCTTATCATGGCATTGTATTTTGTTCATGACTGATTTTTGCATTAATTTTGACTTTTTAAAAACATTGAATATATATATTTATCTTTTGTTTGTTGGTTGGTTTTTGAGACAGTCTTGCTCTGTCACCCAGGTTGGAGTGCAGTGGTGTGATCTCGGCTCACTGTAACCTCCGACTCCCTGGTTCAAGCAGTTCTCCTGCCTCAGCCTCCTGAGTGGCTGGAATTACAGGCACGTACCACCATGCCCAGCTAATGTTTGTATTTTTAGTAGAGACGGAGTTTTTACCATGTTGGGCAGGATGGTCTCGATCTCCTGACCTCATGATCTGCCTGCCTCAGCCTCCCAAAGTGCAGGGATTACAGGTGTGAGCATCGTGCCCAGCCTAGTTTTTATATTTTTAGTAGAGGCGGGCTTTGACCATGTTGGCCAGGGTGGTCTTGAACTCCTGGCCTCAAGTGATCCACCTGCCTCAGCCTCCCAAAGTGTTAGGATTACAGGCATGAGCCTCTGTGCCTGGCCATTTACCTTGATGACTGAGTTTTTTGGCGTTCTCTTAATTTTGCCTTTTGCCTCACTGTAGTAGTCCTGGTCCTTAATAGCGGATGAGCAAACTTTTTCCATGAAGGGCCAGATAGTAAATGTTTTCAGCTTTACAGGCCATAGAGTTTCTGTCGCTTCTGTTCTTCTATTACAGAAGCAGATGTAGAAAATATGTGTGTAAATAGGTGTGGTGGTGGGCCAGATTTGGCCTAAGGGCTGACCCCTCTTAGATCATGACAGTGTGAGCATACTTTAATTGTATTTTTTTAATTAAAAAATTGTGGCTCTGGCCGGGCGCGGTGGCTCAAGCCTGTAATCCCAGCACTTTGGGAGGCCGAGGCGGGCGGATCACGAGGTCAAGAGATCGAGACCATCCTGGTCAACATGGTGAAACCCCGTCTCTACTAAAAATACAAAAAATTAGCTGGGCATCGTGGCATGTGCCTGTAATCCCAGCTACTCAGGAGGCTGAGGCAGGAGAATTGCCTGAACCCAAGAGGCGGAGGTTGCGGTGAGCCGAGATAGCGCCATTGCACTCCAGCCTGGGTAACAAGAGTGAAACTCCGTCTCAAAAAAAAAAAAAAAAAATTGTTGCTCTGAATTGAATACCATAGTTGTGCTTTAAAAAAGTGCTGCCATCTCCACTTCAAATGGGCAAGTCTAGTTTTTCAAGGTGCTAGAGCTATTTTTGGAAAATTTTTTTTTCTGAGATAGAGTTTTACTCTTGTTGCCCAGGCTGGAGTGCAATGGCATGGTCTTGGCTCACTGCAACCTCCACCTCCTGGGTTCAAGTGATTCTTCTGCCTCAGCCTCCCAAGTAGCTGGGATTACAGGCATGTGCCACCATGCCCATCTAGTTTTGTATTTTTAGTAGGATGGAGTTTCTCCATGTTGATCAGGCTGATCTCAAACTCCTGACCTCAGGTGATCCACCTGCCTCCGCCTCCCAAAGTGCTGGGATTACAGGTGTGAACCACCTTGCCCAGACAGAAAATTGTTTTTTCAGATGTAACATGGTTTTTTTAAGTCATTATAAGTTTTAGCTTTCAAATCAATTAGATGCTGAGTATATACTCTGTACCATTATTCTATACTATATTCACTTTGATTGGATTTGGGGGTTTCTTTATCGTCCGTTCTGCACATAACTAATTGAATTTGCTTTGTAATCTGTAGTGGTTTTAATCTCAGCTGGTAAATTTACTTCTAAGTTCTAGAAACACCAAGCCCTGTACCAATTTTATAGCAATAAGATTATTTCCTAAGTTTATTTAACTTTAAGAAATCCATAGCATGTTTAAGTAGTAATTCATGTTAAAACTGATTGTTATTTCTTAATTGTTAGACATGTTTCCTTTGTTGACTGTCCTGGCCACGATATTTTGATGGCTACTATGCTGAATGGTGCAGCAGTGATGGATGCAGCTCTTCTGTTGATAGGTAAATACCTCACAATTGGTCTGGACAAAAGAATGTGGAACAAATCCAAGATGAAATATTTAAAGGGGAACTAAGGCCTTTAAGGACCATATATATTACCTACGGCTAACACGAGTGGGAACTAACATGTCCTCCAGGATGACTTTCCTACCTACCAGCTATCACAAAATACTCAAAAAGATAGACTTGGGGCTGATGGCTTGTGAGAATTCTTGTGGTAGCATCTGAAAAAAAGAAAAAAGGTCATTGGTTCATTTTTCTCATTGAAGTCATGTGAGGTGATTTATTTAGTTCTAAAAGTATGTGTAAAACTATTTGTGTGTGTGTGTGTGTATGTGTGTGTTTGTGAACTGTCTACTGCAGATGTATTTAAGATACAAACACCATTCATAATAAGTGCTGAAGTCTAGGAATAAGTGGAGTTTTCTTTTTTTTTTTTTTTTTTTTTGAGACGGAGTTTCGCTCTTGTTGCCCAGGCTGGAGTGCAATGGCGCGATCTCGGCTCACCGCAACCTCCGCCTCCTGGGTTCAGGCAATTCTCCTGCCTCAGCCTCCTGAGTAGCTGGGATTACAGGCACACGCCACCATGCCCAGCTAATTTTTAGTATTTTTAGTAGAGACGGGGTTTCACCATGTTGACCAGGATGGTCTCGATCTCTTGACCTCGTGATCCACCCGCCTCGGCCTCCCAAAGTGCTGGGATTACAGGCTTGAGCCACCGTGCCTGGCCTTTATAAGTGGAGTTTTCAAGGATAGTATATGCTTTGTTTCCTGTGTAAGCTGTTGAGAGATTTCATTAAAAGCACCAGGTGAGGTGGCTCAAGCCTGTAATCCCAGCACTTTGGGAGACTGAGACAGGCAGATCACCTAAGGTCAGGAGTTCCAGACCAGCCCGACCAACATGGTGAAACCCTGTCTCTATCTACTAAAAATACAAAATTAGCCGGGCATGGTGGTACACGCCTGTAATCTAAGCTACTCAGGAGGCTGAGGCAGGAGAATCGCTTGAACCCAGGAGGAGGAGGTTGCCGTGAGCCAAGATTGCACTATTGCACTCCACCCTGGGCAGCAAGAGTGAGACTCTGTCTCAAAGCAACTGGGCATGGTGGCTCATGCCTGTAATCCTAGAGCCAGGAGTTTGAGACCAGTGTAGCCAACATGGTGAAACCCTGCCTCTACTGAAAATACAAAAATTAGCTGGACGTGGTGGGGCACGCCTGTAATCCTAGCTCTTCAGGAGGCTGAGGCAGGAGAATCGCTTGAACCTAGGTGGCAGAGGTTATAGCGAGTAGAGATGAAGCCACTGCACTCCAGCCTGGGTGGCAGAGACAGAGTGAGACTCAGTGGCAAAAAAAATTTTTTTTTAAAGCATGCCACGTGAGCATAGTCAGGACACTTGAACATCACAACTTGAGGACGTTGATCATTAGAGTGATCAACCAAACATGCCTGTTTATAATACACTGTTGGTTATCTTCACGGTCAGCATTCTTCCCTCTTTGTTGAAGAGTAGCCTCTGATATTAGTTAAAATTCTCAGATAGTATTAAGTGCTTTTTCTTCTTAATTACTCTCTACCTCTCAGGAAGTTGGCTGGTCCAGAGCATTTCCAAGATTGGATAGAGCTAGAGGGCTGTACCTTATACCTGAGCAAAAGCTGAGGGCAGACCCTGAGAAGCCAAACTTACTGATTTTAAGCTTCTTGCTTAGGACCAGGGTTTGGGGCCAGACAGTTGGGAGGTTCCAGTGAATGCAGGCAACAGGGTGAAGCGGGGCCAAAAGGTGGATGCCTGGCAATAATATCTAGGACTGTTGCCTTGAGTACAGCTAGAACATTCAGAAGTCTCCTTTATTAGATGCCAGGCTTTTTTGGGCGGTGAGGGGGTGTGGGTGGCAAAAGAGACTCATAAAATGTACCATTTTATGTATTTAAAGTGTGCAACTTAGTGGCATTAAGTGCATTCACATTTTTGGACAACATAGTGGTTGTGGTGTCACTACTATCTAGTTCCAGAACGTTTGTATCACCACAGAAGAAAACTCCATGCCCATGAAGCATCAGTCCCCATGTTTCCCTCCCCCACCCCCTAGCAACCTATAATCTGCTTTCTCTCTTTATGGATTTGTCTGCTTGTTCTGGGTATTTCCAGCTGTTCTTAAATAGATCTTTTTTATTCTTCATCAACTAGCTGGTAATGAATCTTGCCCTCAGCCTCAGACATCTGAACACCTAGCTGCTATAGAAATCATGAAACTGAAGCATATTTTGATTCTACAAAATAAAATTGATTTGGTAAAAGAAAGTCAGGCTAAAGAACAGTATGAGCAGATCCTTGCTTTTGTCCAAGGTAAGAAGCCATAATATGTAATAAATTTATGAATCACTTTGAGGGGCATTTACTCTGGATACTAGATGTTAAATTAACTTGTAATGTATATTATCTAAAATACGGTAAACTTATGAGTCTTAAGCCTTAGTACTCTACCTACTGCTTGTTAGCAACCTGCTACAACTAATAAAATCTATGTTTCTGAATTTAATATACTAAAGTATATTTTTGCTGGCAGCAAGTTAGAACTGGGGTTGTATTCTGGAAACTTTATCAGTCAGATTTAAAAAAAATGTCAGTAATAGTAAAATGAGTAACAAAATCTAAAAAAAACTTGTCTTACAGTATTTGTTACTGAACAGCTACTTCCAGATTTGGAAGTGACTGATTTATTTAATCTCTATAATGTCCCTTTCTCTAATAGCATAGAGACATGATATATCTTATTGTTGACATTTTCTCTTAGTCTTGTTTTTCTTGTTAGAAAGGTTAATTTCTTGTGAACTCAGTTCTGTCATCACGAAAAGTAATACGTGATTTTAATTAAAGTCTAATTGTGTTTGGTCTATTTCTTTGACTAGCTTGTTTGACATATAAGTAATACGGAGCAAATATATATGGCTGGGCATGGTAGCTCACACTTGTAATGCCAACACTTTGGGAGGCCGAGGCGGGCGGATCGCTTGAGTCCAGGGGTTCAAGACCAACGTGGGCCACATGGTAAAACTCCGTCTCTACAAAAACTACAAAAAATTAGCCGGGATTGGTGACACACACCTGTGTTCCCAGCTACTATGTAGGAGGCTGATGTGTGAGGATTGCTTGAGCCTGGGAAGTGGAGGTTGCAACGAGCCCTGATTGTGCCACTGCACTCCAGCCTGGGCAAAAGAGTGGGACTCTGTCTCAAAAAAAAAAAAAAAATTTAAATTAAAATTATATGTGCCAGCAGTCTTTGATTATCAGAGTCTGTAATTTTATCTTGACATTTATTGGGAGATTAATTACATGTTAGAAATCTTTTCAACTAGTAGAGTGCTCTTTCCCTGGAATGTTAGTATTTTCTTTATGTGAACAGGTTTATCATTGTACTAATATTAAGTATGTCTATTAATATAATTTAACAAATTTTCCCTTAAAGGGAATAGTATTCATTTTCAGGAGTAAAAACAAACATAGAATATTGCCAGTTTTCTAAACAGAATTATCCACTTTGCACTTGTTGCTGACATTTGTATGGGGTTTAGGCATCTATTGTATGATAGTAATCTTAATTGTTTTATATAACATACATAGAATAAATTTTATAAAACTGTAGAATTTTGATCTTTCTGAATTTTGTCATATAGGTACAGTAGCAGAGGGAGCTCCCATTGTTCCAATTTCGGCTCAGCTGAAATACAATATTGAAGTTGTTTGTGAGTACATAGTAAAGAAAATTCCAGTACCCCCAAGAGACTTTACTTCAGAGCCCCGCCTTATTGGTAAGTGATTGGATTTACCATTAACTCTTAATCTGATCTTTTCCACATTGGTGATTCCTCTTTAAGGGTGTTTATTAATATTTCCTCTTTCTGCAGAGGTGATAATTCAGACAGTTTTTTTTTTTTTTTTTAAATCAATTAATTCTGAGATTGTGTTGGCAGTACTAGATTGTATTACTGGATGAAGGACAGAGTCCTGAACATAATAAAAACTGTTAACCTTGGCCTGGTACCTATAATCCCAGCACTTTGAGAGGCTGAAGTGTGTGGATCACCTGAGGTCAGGAGTTTGAGACCAGCCGAACCAACATGGTGAAACCCTGTTTCTACTAAAAGTACAAAAAATTAGCTGGGCATGGTGGCGCACACCTGTAATCCTAGCTACTCAGGAGGCTGAGGCAGGAGAATTGCTTGAACTCAAGAGGCGGAGGTTGCAGTGAGCCAGGATCACACCACTGCACGCCAGCCTGGTCAACAAGAGCAAAACTGCTTCTCAAAAAAACAAAAACAACTTTTAACCTTTCTGTGCTCAATACATGGTGTGTAAGATGGAATAATATAGTATTCTCTATAGAATCATAAGGTTTTAGTCAGGGTGTTACAACTTCCTGACTAAAACGTTATACAGATGATTTTATTGTTCCATTAGAGAAAAACTGATACTGGTATAATTTGATCACTTAAGATTGTGGTTCCTATCCAGGAATGTAGAAGCCTTCTTGAAACAGACATTTGAGCTTGTCTGGGCCTTCATCCAGGCTCCTGGTGTTTAGTAGGAAATATTCTCTGACGTGACTTAAATGCAGGTCATGTAGTCCTAGTGTTGTTTTGTAGTTATAAAGTTGAATTGTTCTTACAGAAGTCATATAATATAGAGGTATATAAAGAAAATGTTCATAATCTCTCTGTCTTCAAGTTCTAGTCCTTTAGCCCTAAAGTAAGCAAAGTTAACATTTGGTGTCCATTATTCCCACACTTTTCTCTTTGTTCATATCATCATGTATAAACATATACGCAGGCTGGGCATGGTGACTTGCACCTGTAATCCCAACACTTTGGGATGCTGAGGCTGAGGTGGGAGGATTGCTTGAGGCTATGATTTTGGGACCAACCTGGGCATCAAAGGAAGATTCCCGTCTCTACAAAAACTAAAATATTATAGCTGGGTACATTGGTGTCTACCTGTAATCCCAGGTACTCGGTAGGCTGGAGCAGGAAGATTACTTGAGCCCAGGCGTTTGAGGTTGCAGTGAGCTATGATTGTGCCACTGCACTCCAGCCTCTGTGGTAGAGGGGGAAAAAAATCTATATACAGACATTAATTTTTTCTGTGTGTGTGGAAGTGGGATTATATTATGCATGTAGTTTTTATAACTATTCTTAACAGTATATGAGGGTTATTTTTCCAGATCATTACATATAGCTCTAACATTAATAGCTGCGTGATACTCTGTAATACTGGTATACTATATATATGCCACTTGTTAATAAACTTATTTTCATTTTTCCCATCATAAGTGAGGCTGCGTAAGCATTAGAGTAATAATAGATTTTTTTAGAAAGTCACCCCTTTAGTATAAATCTTATATTGCCACTATTTTAGAAAAGTTAACATGGAAAATAATATTTCTTCTAAAGTTAAAATTAACACAACTGGCTTTAATTTGTTTTATTTTCTTTTAGTTATTAGATCTTTTGATGTCAACAAACCTGGCTGTGAAGTTGATGACCTTAAGGGGGGTGTAGCTGGTGGTAGTATCCTAAAAGGAGTTTTAAAGGTAAACTGGGTTTTGATTGTTGTGATTTTGTTTTGTTTTGCTTTTGTTGTTTGTTTTACTTTTGTCTAATCTGGAAGAAAAGTATTGACGATCCAGATTGAAAGAAAATTATTTTCATGGTTTCCGGTATTTGATACAGAGTTCTCTTTTTTAATATTCTTTTTTTCCCTCTTCAAACTCTGTTCCCCTCACTCTTCTGGGACTCTGATAGCCACCAACCCATTCTCTACCTTTGTGAGATGCACCTTTTTAACCCCTGCATATACACATGAGTGAGAATGTGTGATATTTGTCTTTCTATGCCTGGCTTATTTCAGTTAACACAATGGCTTCCAGTTCTAGATAAGTTGCTGCAAATGGCAGAATTTCTTTCTTTTTTTTTTTTTTTTTTTTGTGGCTGAATAATATTCCTCTGTGTGTGTGTGTGTGTGTGTGTGTGTGTGTACACTACATTTTCTTTTCTTTCTTTAGATTGTTTTTTTGAGACACAGTCTCTCTCTATCACCCAGGCTGGAGTGTAGTGGCACCATCTCGGCTCACTGCAACCTCTGCCTCCTAGTTCAGGCGATTCTGCTGCCACAGCCTCCCGAGTAGCTGGGACTACGGGTACTCGCCACCTTGCCCAGCTAATTTTTTTTTGTTAGAGATGGGGTTTCACCATGTTGGCCAAGCTGGTCTTGAACTCCTGACCTCAGGTGATCCACCCGCCTTGGCCTCCCAAAATGCTGGGATTACAGGCGTGAGCCACCACGCCCGGCCCCTGATGGAACTTTGATAGGTAAGTGATAATTTTGCCGTAACACAGTAATTTTAATTACTAATTATATGTTTACAGGTGGGCCAGGAGATAGAAGTAAGACCTGGTATTGTTTCCAAGGATAGTGAAGGAAAACTCATGTGTAAACCAATCTTTTCCAAAATTGTATCACTTTTTGCGGAGCATAATGATCTGCAATATGCTGCTCCAGGCGGTCTTATTGGTAAAGATTTTCTTCTCATCTCTTCTAATTTGTGGCTGTTTGTGGTACTTGTCATGGGAGGTGGATTACCAAAAGGGGCATATTATAGAATTTTAATTGGCTATTTTAATAATAGAGTGGGGTGGGGGAACAGTCATGTGGTTAAGCTCTTACTTTAGGTTATAAGATGACTTCATGAGTTAATACAAATTATTTTTAAACACGAAGGATACATTTTGGTCAGATATAGAGTAACTCCTTTTTAGCAATACAAAAAAAATCAGTTTGATGACTTATCATTTAAGATACTTACCTACACTTAAAATTTTTGTGGCCGGGCGCGGTGGCTCAAGCCTGTAATCCCAGCACTTTGGGAGGCCGAGGCGGGTGGATCACGAGGTCAAGAGATCGAGACCATCCTGATCAACATGGTGAAACCCCGTCTCTACTAAAAATACAAAACATTAGCTGGGCATGGTGGCGCGTGCCTGTAATCCCAGCTACTCGGGAGGCTGAGGCAGGAGAATTGCCTGAACCCAGGAGGTGGAGGTTGCGGTGAGCCGAGATCGCGCCATTGCACTCCAGCCTGGGTAACAAGAGCGAAACTCCGTCTCAAAAAAAAAAAAAAAATTTTGTTTACACAGTTTTTGTGATAATAGTTCCCCTTTTTGGGGGGGTTGGGGGGTGGAGTCTTGCTGTGTCACCCATGCTGGAGTGCAGTGGCACAATCTCAGCTCACTGCAACCTCTGCCTCCTGGGTTCAAGCAGTTCTCCTGCCTCAGCCTCCCAAGTATCTGAGACTACAGGCACATGTGACCATGCCCAGCTAATTTTTTGTATTTTAATAGAGATGGGGTTTCACTGTGTTGCCCAGGCTGGTCTCAAACTCCTGAGCTCAGGCACCTCCCCTGCCTCAGCCTCTCAGAGAGTGCTAGGATTATAGGTGTGAACAACCCTGCCTGGCCATGGTTGCTTTTATGTATATTTTGCAATAGTCCCTTACAACTTAGTTTATTACTAAATACCCCCAAAACTGAAAGATTCAGTGAGAATTAAAGGGGGTATTGTACCTTTAGATTAAAGAAGAAAATGTTTGGTGAAGAAACAGTTTATTCTTCACCTAACAAGTTGTGTCTTTGGTTAAAAACTGTAAAGAGGAAATTTTAAAAAGACACCAGAAACAGTTTACCAGATTGGCTGGGTGCAGTGGCTCACACCTGTGATCCCAGCACTTTGAGAGGCTGAGGTGGGTGGATCGCTTGAGCTTAGGAGTTCGAGACCAGCCTGGGCAACATGGTGAAACCCTGTCTCTACAAAAATCAGCTGGGCGTGGTGGCAAATGCCTGTAGTCCCAGCTACTTAGGAGGCTGAGGTGGGAGGATTGCTTGAGCCCAGAGGTCAACACTGCAGAGAGCCAAGATTGTGCCACTGCACAAGGGACCCTGTCTCAAAAGAGAAAGAAAAAGAGGCTGGGCGTGGTGGCTCACGCCTATAATCCCAGTACTTTGGGAGGCCAACTTGGGTGGATCACTTGAGACCAGCCTGGGTAACAGTAAGGTGCCATTTCTCCAATAAAATAGTAAAATTAGCTGGATTTGGTGATGTGTGCCTATAGTCCCATCTATCATTTTATCTTTTGTGTGCATGTGTGTGGTAATCAAGGGAAATTTGGAAACTTTTTAAAAATTTAACTTAAGGAAAATTTAAAATTTGGTTTTTTTGAGGCAGTCTCACTCTGTTACCCAGGCTGGAGTGCAGTGGTGTGATCTCGGCTCACTGCAACCTCTGCCTCCTGGGTTCAGTTAATTCTTGTACCTCAGCCTCTGGAGTGGCTGGAACTACAGGCACATACCATCATGGCCAATTAATTTTTGTATTTTTAGTAGAGACAGGGTTTCTCCATGTTGGCCAGGCTGGTCTCAAACTCCTGGTTTTAAGTGATCCGCCCTCTTTGGCCTCTAAAAGTGTTGGGATTACAGGTGTGAGCCAGCACACTTGGCTTAAGGAACTCTTTTAAACATAGGAGAGAATGCTGTAATGATAACCCCCATGTAGTCATCACTCAGCTTCAGCAATTATTAATGATTTGCCAATCTTGACTGGGCACGGCGGCACTTGTATTCCCAGGACTTTGGGAGGCCGAGGTGGGCAGATCACCTGAGGTCAGGAGTTCAACACCAGCCTCGCCAACATGGTGAAACCCTGTCTCTAATAAAAATACAAAAATTAGTCAGGTGTGGTGGCACATGCCTATAATCCCAGCTACTCGGGAGGCTAAGGTAGGAGAATCACTTGAACTCAGGAGGCAGAGGTTGCAGTGAGCCAAGATTGCACCACTGTACTCCAGCCTGGGTGACAGAGAGAGACTGTGTCTCAAAAAAAAAAGTTTTCCTAATCTTGCTCTATATGTCTTCTTTCCTCCACTCCCCTAAAGACACAGCTGGAATATTTTGAAGTGAATCCCAGGAATCATATGTGTTTTTTTGGTTTTGTTTTGTTTTTTGAGACAGAGTCTCACTCTGTTGCCCCAGCTGCGACCCAGGTTGGCTCACTGCAACCTCTGCCTCCTGGGTTTAAGTGATTCTCCTGCCTCAACCTCTCAAGTAACAGGGATTACAGATACCTGCCACCACACCCAGCTACTTTTCGTATTTTTAGTAGAGGTTGAGTTTCACTGTGTTGACCAGGCTGGTCTCAAACTCCTGACCTCAGGTGATCTGCCCACCTGGGCCTCCTAAAGTGCTGGGATTATAGGCGTGAACCACCGCGCCTGGCCTGGCCCATATGTAGTCTTTAGGCTGTCTTTTTGATCAGCCTTCAGGGGAGAAGTGGTGTGCAAATATTCTGCAAACTTCTCATTATGAATTTTCTTTTTTTTCAGTCTTTGTTAAGGATATTTTGAGTTCAGTTATCTCTATTTGTCCTTTGTTTAGAATTTATTTTTATTGGTTTCCAGACCAAGTACCATCTCCTGTATTAAGTTCTCAGCCAAGCCATCATTCCTAGAAAATCAGGTTTCTAAACCCTTTGTTTAGAATTTAAATCAAGAGAATGTTTTATTCTCATTTGCCCAGTCATCTCATGAGTGTACATATCTATTTGTCTAGATAAAACAGGTATTTTCTTATGCCTATATAGCTATTATGTAAATATGAAAATTAAAGTATATATTAAAGTATATAGGCACATGCTGTGCTTATTTGGCTTTTTAAAAATTTTTTTGAGACTCACTTTTGTCATCCAGGCTGGAGTGCAGTGGTGTGAACTTGGCTCACTGCAACTTCCGCCTCCTGGGTTCGAGCGATTCTCCTGCCTTAGCCTCTGGAGTAGCTGGGAATACAGGCACTTGCCACCACGCCCAGCTAATTTTTTATATTTTAGTAGAGATGGTGTTTCGCCGTGTTGCTCAGGTTGGTCTCGAACTCCTGACCTCCGGCAATCCACCCACCTCGGCCTCCCATGCTGGGATTACAGGCGTGAGCCACCATACCTGGCCAACTAATTCACTTTATAGGTGTTTTAGGAAATAAAACATTGAGCTATATACATCTTATTTTTATATTAGGAGTTGGAACAAAAATTGACCCCACTTTGTGCCGGGCTGACAGAATGGTGGGGCAGGTACTTGGTGCAGTCGGAGCCTTACCTGAGATATTCACAGAATTGGAAATTTCCTATTTCCTGCTCAGACGGCTTCTAGGTGTACGCACTGAAGGAGACAAGAAAGCAGCAAAGGTAAATGCTTTTTATAATTTCTGTTTCTAAAAACGTGACAAATGGGGGTGTTAAACTAGTTTTGAGCTTTATTTTATAGTTAACATGAAATTTAGAAAAAAAAGAAAAGGTAAATAAATTTGACTTCCACAAAATTGAGAACTACTTTATTTTTATTTTTATTTTTGAGAGAGGGAGTCTTAACTCTGTTGCCCAGGCTGGAGTGCAGTGATGTGATCTCAGTTCATGGCAACCTCTGCCTCCTGGGTTCAAGTGATTCTCCTGCCTTGGTTTCCCAAATAAGGGAAAACTGGAACTACAGGCGTGCATTAGCACGCCCAGCCAATTTTTTTATTTTATAGTAGAGATGGGTTTTCACTATATGTGGGCCAGGCTGGTCTCGAACTCCTTACCTAAAGTGATCCGTCCGCCTGGGCCTCCCAAAGTGCTGGGATTATAGGCATGAGCCACTGTGCCCGGCCAAAATTGAGAACTACTTTTTTTTTTTTTTTTTTGAGACGGAGTTTCGCTCTTGTTACCCAGGCTGGAGTGCAATGGCACGATCTTGGCTCACCGCAACCTCCGCCTCCCGGGTTCAGGCAATTCTCCTGCCTCAGCCTCCTGAGTAGCTGGGATTACAGGCATGCGCCACCATGCCCAGCTAATTTTTTGTATTTTTAGTAGAGACGGGGTTTCACCATGTTGACCAGGATGGTCTCGATCTCTCGACCTCGTGATCCACCCGCCTCGGCCTCCCAAAGTGCTGGGATTACAGGCTTGAGCCACCGCGCCCGGCCAAAATTGAGAACTTCTATATGGCAGTCAGTTTAAGAAAGAAACCTATAAAACAGAAAAGTTTTTGCCATGTGTGACAAAGAAATGACATTCCTAATATCCATATGATTTTGTTGTTTATTTTGAGACAGAGTCTTGTTCTGTTGCCCAGGCTGGAGTGCAGTGGTGCAATCTCGACTCACAGCAGCCTCGATCTCCCGGCTCAAGGCATCCTCCCACCTTAACGTCCTGAGTAGCTGGGACTACAGGCACAGGCCACCACGCCTGGCTAATTTTGTACTTTTTGTAGAGGTGGAGTTTTGCTGTGTTACCCAGGCCGATCTCAATGTCCCAAATTAGGTTGACAGAGATGGGAAATTGCTGACACCTAGTGTTGGCAAAGATTTTGGAAAATAAGCAATCATGGTTTTTGAGAAAGTACAAACTGGTAATACTTTCTGAGGGAGAAATTTGGTGATATTTGTCAACATTTAAATGTGGCAACACCCTATCCCAGCAAATTTCACTCTAGCATTCATTCATTCATTTATTGGAGATGGAGTCTCGCTCTGTCACCCAGGCTGGAGAGCAGTGGCACAACCTCGGCTCACTGCAGCCTCCCCCTCCCGGGTTCAAGCAGTTCTCCTGCCTCAGCCTCCTAAGTAGCCGAGATTACAGGAGCGCACCACCACACCTGGCTACTTTTTTATATTTTTGGTAGAAACGGGGTTTTGCCATGTTGGTCAGGCTGGTCTTGAATTCCTGACCTCAAGCGATCCGCCTGCCTCAGCCTCCCAAAGTGCTGGGATTACAGGCGTGAGCCACTGCACCCGGCCCGTACTGACTCTTAAATATATGGCCATATTATTATTATAGCCATAATATTAGCTTATATTAATTCATATGTAGCCGTAGTCCTCCCCTCTCCCCACTTTGGGGAATTTTGTACCTCATTTGTACTGTGTAACTTCTTCAGAATTTTAAGAGGTTCTCTGTTATGTTTACTACCTTATTTTTAAAAGATGGATCTTGTATAAATTCAGTGGGTGCCAAATAAAACTTGCCTTTGTCATCTTTAGAGTATAGTTTAAGTTCCTTTACAATGAAATTTCTATAGAATTTTTTTTTTTTTAATTTTACAATTGACATACTTCCAGTAGTATTTGGTAAATTCTTAGTATTTTTGCAAAGCATTGTCTTGATTTGGGGGTTTATTTTTTTCCAATTTATTTTTCTAGGTGCAAAAGCTGTCTAAGAATGAAGTACTCATGGTGAACATAGGGTCCCTCTCTACAGGAGGGAGAGTTAGTGCTGTCAAGGCCGATTTGGGTAAAATTGTTTTGACCAATCCAGTGTGCACAGAGGTAGGAGAAAAAATTGCCCTTAGCCGAAGAGTTGAAAAACACTGGCGGTAAGTTTGTTAGTTTTTGTCACTGTCTACTTAAAAAAAGACACAGTCTTGTCATACAGAAATAATTTAAAACAAAGTTTTAAAAAAACAAAACACAGTCAATTTCCTTAAGTTCTTGGTGGCGTACCCATAAGCACACACACACTTCCTTGAGGACAACAGTTACTGGGGCTTTCAGTCTTAGCTATTCGTTTGGATGACTTTGAAAACTATACTTCAACCTTCACTATAGTCCCATATTTTAGTCCAAATACCGTGATTGGCTTCTCTTCCTCCTAGACACAAACCTATGCAAAACCCAGTGAATTTGGGTTTGGTATTTGCAATGACTTTGGAAATCATTTCATACTTAATAGAAAAATTGCAAGAATTTTACAGAAAACTACTCTATGGCGCTATCTCGGCTCACCGCAACCTCCGCCTCCTGGGTTCAGGCAATTCTCCTGCCTCAGCCTCCCGAGTAGCTAGGACTACAGGCACGTGCCACCATGCCCGGCTAATTTTTGTATTTTCTGTAGAGACAGGGTTTCACCACGTTGGCCAGGGTGGTCTTGAACCCCCGACCTTGCATGAGCTGCCATGCCCAGGCTGTTTCTCAATCTTCTTTTTTTTTTTTGTTTTTTTGTTTTTTTGTTTTTTTTTTGAGACGGAGTTTCGCTCTTGTTACTCAGGCTGGAGTGCAATGGCGCGATCTCGGCTCACCGCAACCTCCGCCTCCTGGGTTCAGGCAATTCTCCTGCCTCAGCCTCCTGAGTAGCTGGGATTATAGGCACATGCCACCATGCCCAGCTGATTTTTTTTTGTATTTTTAGTAGAGACGGGGTTTCACCATGTTGACCAGGTTGGTCTCGATCTCTCAACCTCGTGATCCACCCGCCTCGGCCTCCCAAAGTGCTGGGATTACAGGCTTGAGCCACCGCGCCCGGCCTTTTTTTTTTTTTTTTGAGACGGAGTTTCGCTCTTGTTACCCAGGCTGGAGTGCAATGGCGCCATCTCGGCTCACCGCAACCTCCGCCTCCTGGGTTCAGGCAATTCTCCTGCCTCAGCCTCCTGAGTAGCTGGGATTATAGGCACGTGCCACCATGCCCAGCTAATTTTTTGTATTTTTAGTAGAGACGGGGTTTCACCATGTTGACCAGGTTGGTCTCGATCTCTCGACCTTGTGATCCACCTGCCTCGGCCTCCCAAAGTGCTGGGATTACAGGCTTGAGCCACCGCGCCTGGCCTCAATCTTCTTTTTTGGGAACATTTCCTATCTTCTGGCACAAGATCTTCTAGACTTACCTTGTACTTTCTCTGTTCCAGTTTTAGAACTGGCCATTTCTCTTATAAATGAAGAGCTGAGTGTTCACGTATGCCCATTGCTCTTAGGGTGCTATTGCTTCAAGGTCTTTTGAGAGGATAGAGCGAGGAAATGCACACACATTTGTAGCTCCTGATTTTTTGCTCTTTCCCAGGTTAGTTAGTGAGTTTGCCCCTTGCTTTCCATTCCTTGTCACCTAATCATAGTCCCTACCATCACTTTATACTTCACAGTTATTGTGAAATACTCCTAGTTTGCCTTTTATTACTTAAGAGCTCAATCAAAATTAGTCTTAAAATATTTTCATCATGCTATGCTCAATAATTTCTAGATGCTGCTCACTACTTTCTGATACTTCGGACTAGAAATCTACTTCAACCATTTAACCTTTCCTAATTATTCAGATCACCCCTGCTCACTGTCTCCTTCCTTAATTATTTATTTTGTATTTTTTTGAGACAGGGTCTCTCTGTTGACCAGGCTGGAGTTCAGTGGCATGATCGTAGCTCCCTGCAGCCTCAGTATTTTTTTTTTTTTTTTTTTTTTTTTTGAGACGGAGTCTCGCTCTTGTTACCCAGGCTGGAGTGCAATGGCGCGATCTCGGCTCACAGCAACCTCCGCCTCCTGGGTTCAGGCGATTCTCCTGCCTCAGCCTCCTGAGTAGCTGGGATTATAGGCACGAGCCACCATGCCCAGCTAATGTTTTGTATTTTTAGTAGAGACGGGGTTTCACCATATTGACCAGGATAGTCTCGATCTCTCGACCTCGTGATCCACCCGCCTCGGCCTCCCAAAGTGCTGGGATTACAGGCTTGAGCCACCGCGCCCGGCAGCCTCAGTATTTTAAGTAGCTAGGACTGCAGGCTCACACCACTATGACCAGCTAATTTTTTTGTTTTTTGGAGGCACTGGGTTTCACTGTGTTACCCGGCATGATCTCAAACTCCCAGCCTCAAGCCATCTTCCCACCTCAGCCTCTCAAAGTGTTGGGATTACAGACATGAGCCACTCCACCGAGCCCTGCTTGCTTTATTAGGCTTTCGTGATACTGTACCCACAGTGGTTTCATCACTTGTCCAGAAGATTTATCTGAATTATTACCCTGTCATTTAGAAAGTTACATTTTTGTTGTCTCTTAAGTAAATAATTGCTGTGGTAATTTATGCCCTTTTGATTTTATTTTCTTGTGTGAAATTTTATCTATCTATCTGTCTATCTATATTATTACAAACATATGACTTCCAGTGTATTTTAAAATAGATTTAAACACTAAACTTTCAGGCCGGGCACAGTGGCTCATGTCTGTAAGCCCAGCACTTTGTGAGGCCAGGGCGGGCAGAACACTTGAGGTCAGGAGTTTGAGACCAGCCTGGCCAACATGGTGAAACTCTTGTCTTTACTAAAAATACCCAAAAATTAGCCTGGCATGGTGGTGCATGCCTGTAGTCCCAGCTACTCGGGAGGCTGAGGCACGAGAATCGTTTGAACCCAGGAGCTGGAGGTTGCATTAAGCCGAGATCATGCCACCACACTCCAGATTGGGTGACAGAGTGAGACTCTTGTCTCAAAAAAAACAACAAAAATAATCTAAGAATATATTATGGGCTTTCTTCATGGAGGAGCAGGCTTTGGGAACAAATTTGAATTTAGAAGATAAGCAGGTAAAATTTATCATACAATTGTGTGGTAATGACAATGAAATGGATGTAAGATTTATGATTTCTTTTATTTTCATTTTGCAGTTTAATTGGTTGGGGTCAGATAAGAAGAGGAGTGACAATCAAGCCAACAGTAGATGATGACTGACGAACACCAGTTAAATAATACATTTGGATGGAGTTGGAAGTTGGAATTTCTCTTAACAACCAAGGAATTTATTTTCAAAGCAATATTGGGGAATTTATTTACAGTTTGTTACCTTAATAGATAGCTATAAGATTATTCTCATGTTTTTGGTTATGAAGACTTAACTTAGGGACTGAAATTAATATAAAAGTTGGCGTAATGTTGGATTGAATCTATATTTTGACAGAAGCATTCCCATATAATGTCACAATTATATATCATGCAGTTTTGTTCTGCATGCCTTATTGTGTTTTTGATTCTGGCTTTACCACCCAGGATGGAGGGCGGTGGCCTGATCTGCATCCTCTGCCTTCCGGGTTCAAGCAGTTCTCCTGCTTCAGCCTTCGAAGTAGCTGAGATTACAGGTGTGTGCCACCATACCTGGCTAATTTTTGTATTTTTAGGAGAGACAGGGTTTTGACATATTGGCCAGGCTGGTCTCTCCTGACCTCAGGGTGATCACCCCACCTTGGCCTCCCAAAGTGTTGGGATTACAGGCGTAAGCCACCTTGCCCGCGCATATCATACACTTTGAAATGAATTTTTGCTACAACCAGCCTTTGCTGTAACACACACACACAAACACAAACACAAACACACACATATACATACACACCACTGAAACTGTCTGAAATAATTTCATTTTCATGATTCCTCTTTGAATAGCTCCAAGCGATGGACTGTTATACCAATGAAAACTTAGAGACAGATTCTCCTTGAAGACCTTCTCCCTTTTCTTTGGCCCCATATTTTATATTGCTTTATCTTTGAAATTTTGCATGAAAAGGAGATTAATGTGTTCAAATGAAATTGTTATTTAGAGATTTTAGAAATTGTCCTATGGACAAATCTTTTTCTTCCCTTGCTCTTCCTGGCCTGAAACACAGAGAAACCAGAGTCAGAAGTTTTCTTTCTTTCCCTGTGATGGCTTGAAATTTTTTCGGCGTTGTTTTAGTCCTGAAATCCAATAGTCTTCCTCTGTTGGAAAATACTGTTATGCCAAATAATTCTAGATGAGTAACAAAGATCTTTCTAGGCCTTCATTTTATGTTTTTTCTTAACTGTTACGATCATAACACACATTGTAATATTACTAATTTCTGGACATTCCGAAAGGCCAAGAAGTAAAAGATGTTAGAAAGCAATAACTGAGTCAAGATGCCCCACAGAGATTCTGGTTTAATTGTTGTGATTTAATTGGCTTGGAGTAGAATTCAGGCATTTAACAACTCTTCTCAGTGTTGAGAAATTTAGAGAGTTGAGAAGTAGGTATATTAAATTACAGAATCTCACTGAGTTTTGATAGTCCGATAATACAGTTTGCTTTGCTTTTCTTAAATTTGCATTGAGATGGGATTTGAAACATATTGTGCTCTTTTGAGTGTTGAAGTTGCATTGTACAACTTGAGAACCTCTGGCTATGGGTTATCTAAGATGATGTTTTAAGGATGCATATTAATGTTACATACTTGGCTGACTTTGAAGGTTGTGTTGTAGCATGAGGAACACAAATAAACAATTTTACATCAAATGTTAATTTTATATCTAACATGTCCCCTTGTGTTTTGTAAGTAACTTCTATCAGAAATTTTGGAATAAGACTTAAAATATAGACTAATTTATTACAATCTCATGTCAGATTTGAAACCAGAAATTTATTGTAATTAATTTCAGACATCCACATGAATTATCAGCAAATTTGTAAAGCACTGTGCTGAGTGTAACGGGCATATACAGGTAGGAAGAAAATGGACCCTGTTTTCATAGAACTTGAAACCAGGACAGTGATTCTTAGCAAGAGATGTACCTGCTTGAGGATGTGCCTGTGATGTTTCTGATGAAAGTACATGGCTTATGTAAATCCTCTAGGCTCTACTGTCAAGATGTTTTCAAAATCTGTTTAGTTCTCATCACTTCCACTGCTACCCCCTTAGTCAAAGCCACCAGTGGCTCTCACTGGGACTAGCCTTCTGACTCTGTCCTGCTTCTGCGCTTGTCCTGCTGCAGTCTGTTCTCAACACAATAGCCAGAGTCCCTGTTTCTAAGAGAATACTGCATACAACTCTTAGATAGTTAAGTTGTAAAGTTAGCCTCACAGAAATGAGGGGCATGAAGACAGACTAGCTGTGACATCATCCAAGTGACTTTCAAGGTGACCTAAAAAGCGCTCTGGGGCCGGGCGCGGTGGCTCAAGCCTGTAATCCCAGCTCTTTGGGAGGCCGAGGCGGGTGGATCACGAGGTCGAGAGATTGAGACCATCCTGGTCAACATGGTGAAACCCCGTCTCTACTAAAAATACAAAAAACTAGCTGGGCGTGGTGGCGCGTGCCTGTAATCCCAGCTACTTAGGAGGCTGAGGCAGGAGAATTGCCTGAGCCCGGGAGGCAGAGGTTGCTGTGAGCCGAGATGGCGCCATTGCACTCCAGCCTGGGTAACAAGAGCGAAAACGCCGTCTAAAAAAAAAAAAAAAAAAAAAAAAAAGCGCTCTGCACTTTTCCTTGTATCTAACTTCCAAAGAGGATGCATGCTTGTTTTTGCAGAGGCAATGTGACTCATTCGAATAAGGGTATGCAGATAACTACACTCGTAAAACAAACCCTTTTTTTTTTTTTTTTGGAGACAATCTTGCTCTGTCACCCAGGCTGGAGTGCAGTGGCACAACCTCAGCTCACTGCAACTTCCACCCTCTGGGTTCAAGATACTCTCCTGCCTCGGCCTCCTGAGTAGCTGGCATAACAGATGCGTACCACCATGCCTGGCTAATTTTTGTGTTTTTAGTAGAGACAGAGTTTCACCCATATTAGTCAGGCTGGTCTCCAACCCCTGACCTCATGATCTGCCCACCTTGGCCTCCCATAGTGCTGGGATTGCAGGTGTGATCCACTGCTCCTGGCCTGGCCTTTTATTTATTTTTTTTTTTAGACAGAGTTTCACTCTCGTTACCCAGACTGGAGTGCAATGGCATGATCTCGGCTCACCGCAACCTCCACCTCCTGGGCTCAGGCAATTCTCCTGCCTCAGCCTCCTGAGTAGCTGGGATTACAGGCACACGCCACCATGCCCAGCTAATTTTTTGTATTTTTAGTAGAGACGGGGTTTCACCACATTGACCAGGATGGTCTCGATCTCTTGACCTCGTGATCCACCCGCCTCGGCCTCCCAAAGTGCTGGGATTACAGGCTTGAGCCACCGCGCCCGGCGCCTGGCCTTTTATTAATTAAAAGTCACATACCATAAAGTCACCCTTTTAAAATACATAATTCAGTGGCTCTTAGTATATTCCCAAAGTTATGCAGCCACCACCATGATCTAATTGTAAAACATGAAACCCCAAGTCCATTAGGCGGTCATCCCAGCACTACCTCAAACAGCCCCTGGCAACCCCTCATCTATTTTCTATGGATTTGCCTATTCTGGACACTTTTATTATGGACTCGTATAATGTGGCCTTTTCTGCCCAGCTTTCATTTTGCATAACATTTTTGGCCGGGTGTGGTGGCTCACACTTGAAATCGCAGTTACTCAGGAGCCTGAGGCAGGAGAATTGCTTAAACCCGGGAGGCAAAGGTTGCAGTGAGCCTAGATCTTGCCACTGCACTCCAGCCTGGGTGGCAGAGTGATAGAAAAACTTGATAGGGTGATGCTTCCAGTGAAATGGGTGCTTTTCTGGAAACATTTAAAAATTTTTAATTACCTAAAATGAAGCAGATACCCTTAAACGATTAATAAACTTGAGAAAGGTGATTCAGAAATTACCTCTGCTGGACTGGGTGTGCTGGCTCACGCCTGTAATCCCAGCACTTTGGGAGGCCCAGGCAGGTGGATCACCTGAGGTCAGGAGTTTGAGACCAGCCTGGTTAACATGGGGAAACCCCGTCTCTACTAAAACTACAAAAGGTGGCAGGCATCTGTAGTCCCAGCTACTCGGGAGGCCGAGTCAGGAGAATCACTTGAACCTGGGAGACGGAGGTTGCAGTGAGTCAAGATCGCACCATTGTACTCTAGCCTGGGTGACAGAGCATGACTCTGTCTCAATAATTTTTTAAAAATTGCCTCTGCTGGGTGGGCGTGGTGGCTCATGCCTGTAATCCCATCACTTTGGGAGGCCAAGGTGAGTGGATCACTTGAGATCAGGAGTTCGAGACCAGCCTGGCCAATATGGTGAAACCCCGTCTCCACTAAAAATACAAAAATTTGTCGGTCGTGGTGGTGCATGCCTTTAGTGCCAGCTACTTGGGAGGCTGAGGCAGGAAAATCGCTTGAACCTGGGAAGCAAAGATTGCAGTTAGCCGAGATTGTGCCATTGCACTCCAGCCTGGGCGTTGCAGTGAGACTCTGTCTCAAAAACAAAAAGAAAAAGATAAGGTTATTCTATTTCCACTATTCAAACTTGGAGATAGAATACTTAAAAAAAAAAAAAAAAACAAACTAGAGATCATTCTCACAGATATAAAGTCTACTAAAATTTAATAAATCCAGCACTGTATAAAAATAATGCATTCTTGTGTATACAGGGATGTATTATAGGTTGAAAGAAAAAGTATCTAGGGGATGTGAAGTGATTCAAAACTCAGATAATGTAAAGGGAACTGTGAACCTAATGTATACTAAGCAAAGAACTTGCAGGGTCATTTTCAGTTGATGTGACACTGGAGTAAAATAACATCCTTGCTGTAATGTGATAGGTGGGGTAAATATGTCAGTTGGATAAAAATGGGTTGTTGTGAGGTTGATGAAATAACTAGGATGCAATTCAGAGTGTGAGAAGCAATCATCTGCATTATATCAGAATTCATCCATCACCTCTATTCTCATTAAGTTTTTTTTTTTTTTGAGGAGGAGTTTCGCTCTTGTTACCCAGGCTGGAGTGCAATGGCACGATCTCGGCTCACCGCAACCTCCACCTCCTGGGTTCAGGCAATTCTCCTGCCTCAGCCTCCTGAGTAGCTGGGATTACAGGCACACACCACTATGCCCAGCTAATTTTTTGTATTTTTAGTAGAGACGGGGTTTCACCATGTTGACCAGGATGGTCTCGATCTCTTGACCTTGTGATCCACCCGCCTCGGCCTCCCAAAGTGCTGGGATTACAGGCTTCAGCCACCGCGCCCGGCTATTCTCATTAAGTTCTAAAGAATGTCAGCTCCTACTTCAATTCCACAACATTGTTCTCTGGGGCTTGGCAAATGATGTTAGTGCTGGGAATGGAAGAGACTGAATGTAAGATAGTTCA